ATGGATTTTGGAAGAAACTAACCCAGTTAGCAACGAACTAAAATCAAAATTGTTACACTGAAACCAACCAGGACATGTTATGGAGGAGAACTTTAAATCCCTGGGAGTATTTTCAATGATTCCAGGCTTTCAGTGACTAAAACCCCTCCCCAGCGCTGTTGGCTTCTCAGCCCCACCTGGGCTACTCTCCTCCCTCTCTGCCCTGCATGTGGACGCCCATGCACAGCCTGCTCAGGATGCTGCCCACGCACCCTCTCACCAGGAACACCCTTCCTACTCCTCTGCCTGTGCGGATCCTGCAAGCCCTGCCCGGGTTTGCACACGCTTCCCTAACCAGCCTTGATCCCAAGGGGTGGGACCACCCCACAATTCAGCCCGACAACCATCCTCTGGATCTTTGGGCTCCACCCAGCCAGTCTTCCTCCTGATGTTCCTCACTGGATCCATCTGAGGCAGGTGGTATGACGGGGTCCTGGAATCCAGGCCCGCCATGGACCTTTAATTCACATGAAAGCCACAACAAAGTGTCTCAATCTCTCTGGGCTTAGCCCTGCTCTGCAGGATGAGCTCACAGAAAGGACACTGGCTGGTGTCAGACACAAAGAGGTTCCAATCTGGTTTGGCTTCTGTGTAACCGCAGGAGGTTGGGTGAATCCCCGAGTCTTGGTTTCTCTTTTGCGAAAGAGGGATAATAATGGCCCCCAGTTGCTGGGAGCAGTGAGGATTAACTGAGTGAAGGGAAGGCTAAAGTGGTCCAGCTCAAAGCCCATCCCTGGTGGACCTCCTCGCCCTGAGCTCACTGCTTTCCCTGCCTTCCTCACAACAGTATCAGTCAGAGGAACTCCAAGGACCCTGCACACATCCGCCAGCTCTGCCCCACCCACTGACAAAGCCTCTCCTACTTGCTGGGACCTATGACCCCCATTCTCCCAAGCCTCGAGGCCAGCAGGCTGTCTGAGCTTTATTTTGCAAGGGAGGAACAGGCCTAGAGAGAGAGAAATAAGTCCCTCAGCCAGGCAGAGGCAGGGATGGAATTCAGACATTGATGTGCAGAAGGATCTTCCCCAGAGGCTATGGCCACTTCTGCTGACCAGCAGGAAAGAACTTTAGAAACTTGAGACTACTAGACCTGTCCATTCATGTGCTAGTCAAACAGGTACTGATATCCGGTCACAACTGTGGCTACCATTCGCTGAGCAGTTGCTACAGATCAGGCCTAATGCTACGCTCCTACCAAATTAGTTTTCTCAGCTTCTCCAGAACAGATCTTAGCCATTTCTACCTCCAACCTTTCCGTCTCACATTCTCTGTACTCGGAATGCCATCCCAGCTTCCTTTCCTGCCTACTACTAGCCTCAACATGCCACATGCCTGGGTTATGGTCGTGGCAGCCCATTTGTGAACTCCTGCTCATCCATCAAGACCCAGCTCAGAGGCTGCACTCTGAAATGCCCCGGGACCCTCCCAAGCTCACCTGCTGCTCCTTTCTTCTGTCCAGTGGTGCTGTGGATATTTCTCAAGCATAATGATAATCTTAGCTCACAATAGCGGGCACTAACAACATGCCAGACACTGTGCTAAGCACTTCGTGTGGTTGAGCTCATCCGTACTCATCAAGACCCTTGGAGGTAAACACTGTTACCCCATTTTATAGATGAAGAAGTGAGTGACTTGGGCAGTTGGTGGCGGAGCAAGGGTTAGTCCTTGAGGCTGCTGCCTACCACGGATTCTGGGTGGAGATTTGTTGAAGACCCTTCAAGCCCCCTCCATCCCTCCCCTACCAGCTCCCAGCCTGGCCATACCACAATGGCAGAAGTGACAGACAGGATGTTGACCACACAGTACTGCAGAGCCACAGCATCGTGGGGGGTGCCCACGTAGCGCAGCACTGTGCCATGGAGCAGGGCAGCTGTGATGAAGCTCACGTGGCCCAGCACCACCAGCACCAGGCCTGTCTTCATCAGCACCTTCCGGAAGTCATCCACACTCAGGCCTCCTGTGGGGGACAGCTATGTCAGGACTGTTCGTGGGGCTTATCCTGCTGGGCAGAAGGGGAAGCCGATGCTGTGGCCCTAGTGATGTACATTGGGTTCTGAATCTATTTCTGGATGACTTGGAGCCAGTAACTTGCCTTCTCTGAGCCTCAGTCTCTTCATCCATAAAAGGGGCTGGGGATGCCTTTGTGAGTCCCGAGGACTCTAAGTCTGGACAAGCATACAGGTGGCTCTTAGCAGTAGTGCTTGTTAGTGTTCAAGGTCATGAGTGGGGGGTGCTAGCTCAGGTCTCTAGCTCTAGACTTGGAGATCTTTCCACTAAGCTCCCCATTTACTGATTCATGTCTTCATTACACATGTTCACAGAGTGCCTGCTCTGTGCCAGGCCCTAGGGTACCTCAGTGAGCTCCATAGGCCACAAGGAGCCAGAGTTTATTAGGTAGGAATTGGGCCCAGCTCAGTACTCAGCTTGGTGAATAGGGTCTGGTACACAGCAGATGCTCACAGAGCTGCTGAACTGAACTGCCCAGAGCCAGGTGAGTCTGGGCAGGTAACTCAAACTCTGAGTCTCCAGGTGCCCATCTGTAAAATGGGAAGAAGAACCTTGCCTCTCAGTGAGTCCATGAGGAAGTGGATGGGAAAGTGTGGCATACCCTGAGGGTACTGTGTAAAGGAAGCGCTCAGCACAGGGGGTACTAGGCAGGATGGAGTGAGTGGGGAAGCCTGGGGTCAAAAGGACATTGAGCTGGGCATGGTGGCTCATGTCTGTAATCCCAGCACTTTGGGAGGCAGAGGTGGGTGGATCATGAGGTCAAGAGATCGAGACCATCCTGGCCAATATGGTGAAATCCCGTCTCTACTAAAATATAAAAAATTAGCCGGGCATGGTGGTGTACGCCTGGAGTCCTAGCTACTTGGGAGGCTGAGGGAAGGGAATCACTTGAAACCAGGAGGTGGAGGTTGCAGTGAGCCGAGATTGAGCCACTACACTCCACCCTGGTAACAGAACAAGACTTCATCTCAAAACACAAACAAACAAACAAAAAAACAAAAACGAAAAATTGGGGATGGGACATTGGGACTCATTCAGATGCTCTCAGTGGCAAAGTGGCAACCTAGCCCTACCTGCACATGCCAGCTCCTGACCTGCTCTCTGGAATTTGCCTGAGTCCTAGCTCTGCCCTCAAGGAGATACATTATACTGACCCCTAGGCCCTGCCAGCCCCTCACTAGAGCCAGCTCTGAGACTTGAAGACCGTGACCAAGACTGCTCCCATCAGGAGCAGTTAAAGAAGCATGCATTGTGACCAAGACTGCTCCCATCAGGAGCAGTTAAAGACCATGCACCAGCCCCTTCCCTCTCTGGGCCCCAAATTCCCCATCTATAAAATGGGAGGCATTGGTCCACCCAGCCTCTGAGACCCCTGGAGCCCACAGAACCCTCTGAAGCTGAACCAGGTCTAGGAGAAGAGGGCAGACGATGGGCTGGACAGGCACTGTGAGGCTGAAATGGCATTGTGAAGACAGACTGCCAGCCAAGCAGGAAGGGGCACGGCAGCTTCAGCGCAGGAGCCTGACTCACCTCACCCCCACTACTCACCTACCTGGGAGCTCCGTGCCTACCTCCCAGTTCAGGGCTGGGCTCAATAACAGCAGCATCCCAGGACCAAGACTTTGGTCAAAGAGGAGGCACAGTGCCAGCATGGGGCTGTGCCTGGAGCACTGGACTAAGTCTGGAGCTGTCCTTGGCTTTATTTATTTAATGTATTGAGACAGGGTCTCACTCTGTAGCCCAGGCTAGAGTGCAGTGGCCTCATCATGGCTAATGCAACCTCTGCCTCCTGGGCTCAGGTGATCCTCCCACCTCAGCCTCCGGCTAGGTAGCCAGGCTAATTTTTTTTTCTTTTTCTTTTTCTTTTTTTGTAGAGACAGGTTTCCCCATGTTGGCCAGGCTAGTCTCTAACTCTTGGACTCAAGCAATCCTCCTGCCTCGGCCTCCTAAAGTGCTGCCTCCCAAATGAAGCCCAGCTGGCTTCACTTCTAAGTTACCACTGGGAGCTCTTAGCAGCACTGCCAGTACGGTGCTAAGCGCTTTACTCTTGGGAGCTGCCCTCATCCTCATAGTAGTCCTAGGGGGTGGGTCCCCCTCTTACAGGCAAGGAAACTGAGGCTCACAAGGTCTTTTGGCCAGACAGTAGGGACCCCCCCCCACCCCGGGGCTTTCTGCTGCCCACAAGCAGCATCACTGTGCCCAGGCACTGGAGGGAGGGGGCACATCAGTCCCTCTCCCCCGCTACTGATCCTGTTAGAGGGGATTGCATACAGCCCTTCCCCTCCTGGCAGTGGGAGGGTGGGGGGTATGCAAGTGGGAGCCCCTGGCAAGGCTGGGGAAGCTGAGGCCTGGTCCGGGGGTCCCTTCTGAGTGAAGGTGGGGGCTGCTGTTTCCACATCTCCTCTGCCGCCCACCCGGGAGTCCCCGAGGGCAGTCGTGCCCCTCCGCAGGAAAGGAAAGAGAGGGCTAGGGGAAGAGACGCTACAGCCACATGAGAAGACCCACGCAGCGCTCCTCCCTCCATCTAACTGCTGGGGAAACTGAGGCCCAGAGAGGAAAGTGATCAGCCCCAGGCCGCTCAGTAAGTTAGAGGCAGAGCGTGCGGCCTGGACCCCAGGGGCTCGGACTCCCGGCACAGTGCTCCGCCCCCGCGGGAGGGTTGGAGTGGTTCGGGGCCTCCCGCGCGCCCCCAACCGCTCACCGAGGCGCAGACACATGTCGGATTCGCGCGGGTCCGGCCGCCGGCTTCAGCGCGGCTCCCGAGGCTCTGGGCCGCCCGGGGACCCCGCTCCCATCCCGCTGGCCAGTCGCCCGCGCGCCCCGCACCGCGGCGCTCGCCTACTTCCCGCCCGGAGCCCGGGGCTGGGCGGTGCCGGGCCGGCCTCCCTTCCCGTCACCCCCCGGGCCGCCCGGCCCCGCAGCGCCCCCGCGGCTCGTGCGCCTCCCGGCCGGTCCGACCGGCTGAGCAGCCCGCGGCCCGCCCGCTGAGTCAGGCGCCGCCCCGCCCGGCCCGCCCGGCGCCTAGCCGCCCGCCCTCTCGGCCCACCCGCAGCGGCCGGCCAGCTCTACAAGGGGAAACTGAGGCTCCGAGGAGCCGCCCCGCCCGGGCCCGCGGGCGAGCTGGGTGGGGGCTGCACGGGAGCTGTGGTTCCCGTGACCTGGGGGGCGCCTGGGCGGAAAGCCCCCGGAGGACAGGGCTGGGACGGAGAGAGGCAGCGGGGGCGGTGAAAGAGCTGCTGGGGTCTGGGGTCTGACCCTGCCTGCTGTGTGACCTCAGGCAATGTTTTCCCTCTCTGGGCTTACCTTCACCGCCCGCGAGTCTGGTCTTCCACGCCGAAAAAGGCGCTTTACGTCTCCTTCTTGGTTGGGAGGGCCTCACTTTCCTTTTTGGAAAATCAGGAATAATAATTCCTGTCCCCTAAGGTCGTGGTGAGCCAAAATAGGATACAAAAATGAGGTAAGAAAGCGCTTTCCGCCGGGCACAGTGGTTTATGCCTGTAATCCCAGCACTTTGGAAGGCCTAGGCAGGCAGATCACCTGAGGTCAGGAGTTCGAGACCTGCTTGGTCAATATGGTGAAACTCCGTCTCTACTAAAAATACAAACATTAGCTGGATGTGGTGACGTCCGCCTGTAATCCCAGCTAATGGGGAGGCTGAGACCAGAGAATCGCTTGAAACTAGGAGGCAAAGGTTGCAGTGGGCTGAGATTGTACCACTCCATCTCAAAACAACAAAACAAAAACAATAACATGCTTTGGAAACTCTCCAGAAGTTAACAAACTAGCAGGAGCGCATAGTAGGAGCTTTATTAGTACTGGCTGTGGGTTACTGAGCCCTTTAATGTACCAGGATGGACCCCAGTGAGGTCCCTTGTTAGTCTCAGCATTCATGCCGGGAGGTATCATTCCTGCACCTTTGGGTTCAGAGACCACTCACCCAAGACCACCAGCTGGAAGTGGTGGAGTAGGCAGGAGCCTGGAATCCGCCGGGTCTCTCTGTCCAAGTTTTGTAGAGTGGCCACACCGTGGATGCCTCCCTGGGCTCTCCAGGTCCTTGGAGTGGGCCCATGGGAGGCACTTACTGTGGGATCCGGGCAACATCTGTTCACAGCTTGCCCCACTTACCCCACTGGGCAGTGGCCCAGAGGGCAGGGGCTGGCCTGATGTCTTTGGGTTCTTGACTGGGGCCTAGCTGGGGGCTGTCCACTGACTGTGTGTCTTTCTGCAAACCTGTACTGACTCCTGCTTTGCTGTGTGTGTTGTGCAGTTGGGTCAGATATGGAGCCTCTGGAGTCTGGAGAACACAGTAACACCATGGGAGGCAGTGGAACCATTTCTCCTAGGAAGCCCCCTGGGGCATCCCATCTGGTAACCCCCAAGCAGAGGTGATTCCCTATCATCTGCTGTCTGAAGGGTGATAATGTGCAGGGGATTCTGGGTGGGGAGACAGATTTGCCAGGTGGAAGGGAAGATGGGGGCAGTTGATGATGACATCAGGCTGGCACTAGAATGTTGATGTCCTTGGATAATCTTTTAGTAGGGCAATTGGGTAGTACTCATTCATATTGTAAATGATCAGACACTTGTAACTGTGGCCCAGAAATTCCATTTGTAGGTCTTTGTCCTACCCACCAGGGTACAGAGATATGCATGCATTTAATGGTGTATGTGGACAAATTGTTCCTAGTAGCAACAATGGCACCAAAATAACCAAGAGAGGTGCAGGGAGCGAGGAGAAGGATTTTGCTCTTTGTTTTACGTGTGGCTGTATAGTTGGAGTTGGAGTCTTACAGTGAACACTTATGCCTTGGTTTTGTTAAAAAGGAAGGAAGGGCCAGTGGGCACAGTGTCTCATGCCTGTCATTCCAGCATCTTGGGAGGTGGATCACTTGAGGCCAGGAGTTGGAGACCACCCTGGCCAACATGGCAAAACCCCGTCTCTACTAAAAATACAAAAATTAGCTGGGCTTGGTGGCAGGCACCTGTAATCCCAGCTACTTGGGAGGCTGAGGCAGGAGAATCACTTGAACCTGGGAGGTGGAGGCTGCAGTGAACTGAGATCATGCCACTGCACTCCAGCCTGGGTGACAAAGAGAGAAAAAAAAAGAAAGAAAGGAAGGGCCGCTTCACCACCACTGCCCTGCCCTCATTCCACCAACAGCTTGTGATGCCAAAGCCCACCTCCCAGGGGTTGCCCCGGAGAGCGCAGGTGGTCACTGCAAGGCTGATGTCAAACTTTGTGTGCGTGCATGGATGTGGCTTCTCTATCAGTCTGGCTCTGTGGCCCAGGCTGGAGTGCAATGGTGCGATCTCAGCTCACTACAATCTCTCCCTCCTGGGTTCAAGCAATTCTCCTGCCTCAGCCTCCCAAGTAGCTGGGATTACAGGCACCTGCCATCATGCCCGGCTAATTTTTGTATTTTTATAGAGACGGGGTTTCACCATCTTGGCCAGGCTGGTCTTGAACTCCTGACCTCATGATCCACGCATCTTGGCTTCCCAAAGTGCTGGAATTACAGGCGTGAGCCACCGCGCCCAGCCCAAGGACTTTTTAAAGACCCCACAGCATATATCAGTGGCAAAGCTGAGACTTGAATCTGAACCTGTCTGACTGTGAGGCTGCTCCTGACTTCTGAGTGTGTGTGTGTCAGAGGTGGGGAAAGCCACAGCCCCCAGAAGTGTGCCTGCCCTGTGGGACCTCTGAGGAGGGAAACTTTCCACCTGCTTCTCTCCAGACCATAATTTCCCAGATATTAGTCAACCTCAGTGGTCTGAAGTTATTGCCACTTCTTTTCCTTATTACCATGTGGCCAAAGTCCATCAGTGCCAGCTACCTGGCAAGCCTTGGCCCCTGCCCCACCTATGTGCACACTGGCCTGAGGTTCTGGAAACAACTCCAGGCCTGAACTCTAATTCCTTATCCTCCGTCAACTCACTGTGATATCCTGGCAGCTCACTGCCATTTCCTGGGCCTCAGTTTCCCTATCTGTCAAATGGGGATGATGATTTTCTTTCCAGCCTTCCCAGATTTTTTGAGCCATAAATGACTTTCGAGATATGAAAGTGCATTGGAACCTAGCCAGAGAAATACAAGTAGCAGTTACCTTCCTGGAACATTTAACAACCAGGTGTGGCCCAGTGCATTTAGCTGGGAGCTGGGTCTCCCCAGGCATGGGCTCCCATGGGGCTGCTCAGCTGGGGAGGTAGGTTTCCCTCCCCCTCTCCTCTCCCTTCCTCCTCCCCCATCCTCCTCCCTGTCCTCACCTCCCCTCCCCTCTTTTCCCTTACCTTCCATTTTCTTTCTTCGAGATGGAGTCTTGCTCTATCACCCAGGATAGAGTGCAGGTGTAATCTTGGCTCACTGCAACCTCTCTCCCAGGTTCAAGTGAGTCTCCTGTGTCAGCCTCCCAAGTAGCTGGGACTACAGATGGATGCTACCACGCTCAGCTAATTTTTTGTATTTTTAGTAGAGCCAGGGTTTCACCATGTTAGCCAGGCTGGTCTCGAACTCCTGACTTCAGGTGATCTGCCCGTCTCAGCCTCCCAATGTGCTGGGATTAAAGGCGTGAGTCACCACGCCCCCCCTCCCCTTTTTTTTGAGACAGCGTCTCTCTTTTTCACCCAGGCTGGAGTTCAGTGGCTCAATGTTGGCTCATTGCAACCTCCACCTCCCAGGCTCAAGCCTCCCACTTCAGCCTCCCAAGTAGCTGGGACCACAGGCACATGCCACCATGCCTGGCTATTTTGTAAAACTTTTTGTAGAGACAAGATCTTACTATATTGCCCAGACTGGTCTCGAACTCTTGGCCTCAAGCAATCCTCCCATCTCAGCCTCCAAAGTGCTGGGATTTTAGGCTGTGTGCCCGGCTTTATGTTTTATTTTGTGTTTTTCTATGTGCATATGTGATTTTTTTTCTTTCTCCTCTGAGACTTCTGCTACCTGGCTCTACTCTGCTGTGCCTCCCATCACCTTCATCTTCACTGCATCTTCCATCTGCCCTGTCACCTCCCTTCATTCATCCAGGACTGGAGTTTCTGTCCTAATGTCCTGCTCATCTGTGTGAATGTCCTCCGGGACCCTTCCTTGCTGTCCTCAGTGGCCTTCATTATGACTCTAACTATTCTGTCCAGAGCCACGCCTAGAACAGCCTTCTCTGAAATCCCAACCCCAGGCACCACCAAGTCCTCCCTGGGAGCATGCCTGGATTCGGACCCCCGTACCGGCCCCTTCTGTTTTCTTCCTTTCAGTTAGCCCCTTCTGGCCTCTTCATCACCAAGCCTAAACCACAAGGTTGAGCATCTGAAGGCCAGCTCAGTTGTCCCAGAGAGAGATAAGGCCTATAGGGGGCTTGGACTTGGACCAGAATGGTAGCTGTTAAGATGGAGAGAGGAAGCAGATTTGAGATAGGTAACTCATATGCACATTAATGTCTGAAAACCACTGTTCTAAGTCCTCTCAACTCCATACAAAAAAAATTTTATTTTATTTATTTATGTTTTTAGGTAGAGTCTCACTCTGTTACCCAGGCTGGAGTGCAGTGGTGCCAACTTGGTTCACTGCAACTTCCATCTCACAAGTTCACGTGATTCTTGTACCTCAGCCTCCTGAGTAGCTGGTATTACAGGTGCCAACCACCATGCCTGGCTAATTTTCATATTTTTAGTAGAGATGGGGTTTCACCATGTTAGCCAGGCTGGTCCTGACCTCAGGTGATCCACCCACATTAGCCTCCCAAAGTGGTGAGATTACAGGTGCAAGCTGCTGCACCCAGCCCATTTAAACAAATTTTTTTAAATTTGTCTAGAATTTTTATAGACTTTCATAGAATAAAAATTAGTATAGAATTAAGCAGGGTTAAAAAAATATCATTCCTCTCCCTCCGTACTCCTCCCAGTTTACAGACTCCTCTCCATCCCTTACCTCCCCCTTCATCTGCTTTCATCCCATCAGCTATAAACTCACGCAAGTCTCTTTTGTCCTAAAAACCACAACCTCCCCTTGACCCTCTTTACGTTTCTAGTGACTGCTTTTCACTTCTTTTCCCTTTGCCCTCGAACCTCTGGAGTGAGTTATCTTTGCTGTCTCCACCTTTCCAACTTTCACTTCCTCTTCCGTTCACAGTAGTGTGGCTTCAGCTTCAGTGGAAGAGTCCTTGCCATGGTCACCAGTGACTTCTAATTTGGCTAATTCCAATGGAAGCATTTCATTCCTTTTTTTTTTATGAGACGGAGTTTCGCTCTTGTTACCTAGGCCGGAGTGCAATGGCGCGATCTTGGCTCACTGCAACCTCCGCCTTCTGGGTTCAGGCAATTCTCCTGCCTCAGCCTCCTGAGTAGCTGGGATTACAGGCACGCACCACCACGCCCAGCTAATTTTTGTATTTTTAGTTGAGACGGGGTTTCACCATGTTGACCAGGATGGTCTCGATCTCTTGACCTCGTGATCCACCTGCCTGGGCCTCCCAAAATGCTGGGATTATAGGCATGAGCCACCGCGCCCGGCCACATTTCAGTCCTTACATAGCCACTCTCTGCATCTCTTTCTGGAGCTTCCTCCTGCCTCTCTGGTTGTTCCTTCTCAGTCTTCTTTGTGGACTTTTTATCTTCAGCTCAACCTTGGAATTACTAGATTTTCTTGCGTTCTTTCTGCTTCCTTTACTTTTCCCATCGGCTGGCTTGTGCACTCATGGTTCTCCTTTTATATGATGAATCTCAAATCACTATTCCCAGACTAGATTCTCCTCTTAGCATTGGACTCAGATATCCAACTACATTACCTTTCCACCTGGGGGTCCTATCACCACCTGAAGCTCAGCAGGCACCAACTGATCACTTCATCTTTCCTCCCAAACTATATTTTCCTATCTCAGTTGGTGGCATTGTGATGTACCCAAGTCAAAAGCTGGGAGTCATTTTTTACTCTTCCCTTTCTTTCTACATAAAGTCAATCACCGAGTCCTGTCAAATTATGTCCATAAATATTTCTGTAATGAGTGACTTCCTCTTTGTCTCTGCTACTGTTGCCCTTGTTCACATAGCATCTGTTGTCCACCAATTTTTCCACACTACTGAATAATCTTCTTAAAGTATAAATCAAATCATTATATTCTTCTGCTTAAAACCAGTAACATGAAAGAAATGAAAGGCCAGGCACACTGGCTCATACCAGCACTGTGGGAGGCCAAGGTGGGAGGATCATTTGCAGTCAGGAGTTCAAGTCCAGCGAAGGCAACATAGTGAGACCCCATCTCTACCCTCCCCGACCCCTGCTGCAAACTAGCTGGGTGTGTGGCACCTGTGGTCCTAGCTACTTGGGAGGCTGAAATGGAAGGACTGCTTGAGCCCGGGAGTTCACAGTGAGCAACAGAGCAAGATCTTATCTCTTGAAAAGAAATTAAAGAAGACATAAGTAAATAGACATTCTAAGTTCATAGATTGGAATACTTAATATCACTAAGATGGCAGTTCTTGCCAAATTGATCTACAGATTCAGTATGATCCCTATAAAAATCCAAGCTGCTCTGGAGGGAGGTTGAGAGAGGAGTGAGAGTTGAAAAATTACCTACCAAGTACAATGTTCATAGTTTGTACGCTGGATACAATAGAAGCCTGATCCCCATCACTATGCAATATACCCATGTAACTACAAGCACATGTACCCCTGATTCTAAAATAAAATAGTTTAAAAAATGCAAACAGCCATGTAAGGTGGCTCACACCTCTAATCCCAGCACTTAGGGAGGCCAAGGCAGGCGGATCACCTGAGGTTGGGAGTTTGAGACGAGTCTGACCAATATGGAGAAACCCTGTCTTTACTAAAAAAAAATACAAAATTAGCTGGATGTGGTGGTGTGTACCTGTAATCCCAGCTACTTGGGAGACCAAGGTAGGAGAATTGCTTGAACCCAGGAGGCGGAGGTTGTGGTGAGCCAAGATTGCACCATTGCACTCCAGTCTGGGTGACAAGAGCGAAACTCTATCCCAAACTGCCTTTTTTTTTTTTGCAGAAATTGGTAAACTGATCCTAAATTTATATGGAAATACAGAAGCTCCAGAATAGCCAAAGCAATCCTGAGAAAGAAAAGCAAAGTTGGAGAACTCACATTTCCCAATTCGAATTTACAGTAAAGTTAAAATAATCAAGACAATGTGGTACTGACATAAGGGTGGACATATGGATCAATGGACTGGAATTGAGAGTCCAAAAATAAAGAAACCAGAAATAAACAAGATATAAGAATACACATTTTTCTTTCTTTCTTTCTTTCTTTGTTTTTCGAAAAGGAGTCTCACTCTGTCTACCAGGCTGGAGTGCAATGGCGCAATCTCGGCTCATTGCAACCTTTGCCTCCCTGGTTCAAGCAGTTCTCCTGCCTCAGCCTCCTAAGTAGCTGGGATTATAGGCATGGCCACCACGCCCGGCTAATTTTTTTTTTTTTTTTTAGTAGAGACAGAGTTTCACCATGTTGGTCAGGCTGGTCTTGAACTCCTGACCCCGTGATCCTCCCACCTTGGCGTCTCAAAGTGCTGGGATTACAGGTGTGAGCCACTGCGCCCAGCACACATTTTTCAATTGATCTTTTTCTTTTCTTTTCTGTTTTTTTTGGAAACAGGGTTGCTCTGTTGCCCAGACTGGATTGCTGTAGCTTGATGATAGGTCACTGTAGCCTATAATTACTGGGTTCAAGCAATCCTCCTGCCTCAGCCTCCCAAGCACCTAAGACTACAGGTGTATACTACTGTGCTCGGCTAATTTAAACAATTTTTTGTAGAGACAATGTCTCATTGTGTTGCCAACGCTGGTTTCAAACTCCTGGTTTCAAGTGATCCTGTTTCCCTGACCTTTCAAAGTGGTGGGATTACAGGTAGGAGCCACCATGCCCAGCCTTGGTTGACCGAGTTTTGGCAAGGATGCCAACATGATCCAAGGGAGAAATGATAGTCTTTCAACAATGGGCGGGGACAATTGGGTATCCCATGCAAAGGATGAAGCTGGACCCCTAACTCATACCATGTACAAAAGTTAACTCAAAGGCTGGCTGTGGTGGAACATGCCTATAATCCCAGCTATTTGGGAGGCTGAGGCAAGAGAATCACTTGAACCCAGGAGACAGAGGTTGCAGTGAGCCAAGATCCCACCACTGCCCGCCAGCCTGGCAACAGAGCAAGACTCCATCTCAAAAAAATAAAAATTAACTAAAACTGAATCAAAGACCTAAATGTAAGAGTTGGAACTATAAAACTCTTAAGAAATGGCCGGGCGCGGTGGCTCACACCTGTAATCCCAGCACTTTGGGAGGCCGAGGTGGGTGGATCACGAGGTCAAGAGATTGAGACCATCCTGGTGAACATGGTGAAACCCCATCTCTACTAAAAATACAAAAATTAGCTGGGCATGGTGGTGCACGCCTGTAGTCCCAGCTACTCGGGAGGCTGAAGCAGGAGAACTGCTTGAACCCAGAAGGCAGAGGTTGTGGTGAGCCGAGATCGTACCATTGCACTCCAGTCTGGGCAACAACAGCGAAACTCCGTTTAAAAAAAAAAAAAAAAAGGAAAGAAAACATAGACATAAGTCTTTGTGACCCTGGATTAGACAAGGCATGATGACACTAAAAGCAAAAGCAACCAAAGAAAAATAGGTAACCATGATATCCTCAAAATTAAAGACTTCTGTGCTTCAAAAGATACCATTAGGTGAAAAGATCATCATCAGTGAAAAGATGATCCGTTGAAACTATTTGCAAATCATCATCTGATAAAAGTCTAGTATCCAAAATACATTAAAAAAAGTCTTACAATTCAACAACAAAAGGACAAATACAAACTGCCTTTTTTTTTTGCATAAATTGGAAAACTGATCCTAAATTTATATGGAAATACAGAAGATCCAGGATAGCTGAAACAGTCAAAACAAAACAAAAAGAGGCAAAGGATTTTAACAGACATTTCTCCAAACAAGAAACATAGATGGCTAATAAGTACAGGAAAAAATGCTCAACATTGTTAGTCAATAGGGGACTACAAATAAAGACTACAGTAGGGTACCACTTCATATCCACTAGCATGGCTATAACCAGAAAGACAGACACTAACAAGTGTTGGTGAAGATGTGGAGAAATTGGAACCCTCATGTACTACTGATGAGGATATAAAATGATGCAAGCACTATAAGCCTGGGCAACATAGTGAGACACCAACTTTACAAAAAAATTTAAAAATTAGCCAGACATGATGATATGCACCTGTGGTCCCAGCTACTTGCGAGGCTGAGGTGGGAGAATCTCGTGAGCCCAGGAGGTCAAGGCTGTAATAAGCCATGATCACACCACTGCACTCCAGCCTAGGCAAAAGAGCAAACCTGTCTCTAAAAAAAAAAAAAAAGAAAAGAAAAGAAAAAACAAACAAACATAGAATTATGTGACCCAGCGGTTTCATTCCTAGGTATATTCCCAAAAGAACTGAGACATATTCATACAAAAACTTGTGTAAGTGTTCAGAGCAGTATTGTTTACAATTGTATTACCACAATCAGACAGGAACCCACACTCTCTGCCTTCTTTCCTCTTACCATAAATGAAGTCCTCTTGCTCCTTTCCAAGGCTAACTCTCACCTTGTCAAGGCTTTGCTTCTGCAATTACATGCTTTTTGTCCTGCAACACCAGACAATCTCTCTCTCCCCACAATGGAACATTCCAGTCAACACATAAAGATGCCATGTATTTACATCTTAACACAACATGAAACAACAAACCTCCCTTGACTCTACTTGCCCTCCGGATACTACTCATTTTTCCCCCTTCATTCCTACTTCTTTGAATCTCATGACTCTTCAACACACTCTCTTTAGGCTCCCCACCTCACCACTCCACTGAAACTGCTCTTACCAAGAATGCCCACAACTTTCATGCTGCCAAATCCAGTGGGCACACTAGTCTGTTGTCACCTTAACCTCTCAGCAATGATCAAGCAAGATGACCACTCTCTCTTGCTTAAAACATGCTTCTTTTGGTTCTGTGACCCCACACCCCTTCAGGTTTTCCTCCTGCCTTTGTAACCATTCATTCTTGGTCCCTTTAAGTTGATTTTTCCCTCCTGGACCTCTAAGTCCAGTCCTCAATGGCCCATTCTAAGGTCAAGTCTTTGACCTCATTATCATCAATAACTATACTACTTCTAAGGCCTTACATTTCAGCACCCTACCCCAAAAACCCATCTTCTATCTTTCCAGACCTCTGACTCTAATATCCTAACAATTCTTTGGCTTCTTGAGATCTCCATTCTTTGACCCTTCGTGATGGCACACTTGAAAATTTGGTCAAAGTCCTCTTCTTTTCTCATCTATACCCTCTTAACGATCTCATCCATACCCTTGGTTTTTATACTGTCAATGTGTCAATGATTCCTATATACAGTTGCCCTTCAGCATCCATAGGGGATTGGTTCCAGGAACCCTTCAGATGCCAAAAATTTTGGATGCTCAAGTCCTTTATATGAAATGCCATAGTTATATGTTATGTATTGTATTTGCATATTACCTATGCACATCCTTCCATGTACTTTAAATTATCTCTAGATTACTTGTAATACTTATTACAAGATAATGCTATTTAAATTTTTATTATACTGTATATTAAAATTGGTATTTTTTTTTTTAAAGATGGGGTTTCACCATCTTGGTCAGGCTGGTCTTGAACTCCTGATCTCAGGTGATCCGCCCGCCTTGGCCTCCAAAGTGCTTGGATTATAGGCGTGAGCCACCACGCCTGGCCTAAAATTGGTATTTTTTTTATTGCTGTAGTATTATTATTTCAAAAATATTTTTGGGCTGGGTGCAGTGGCTCATGACTGTAATCCCAGCACTTTGAGAGGCTGAGGTGGGCAGATCACTTGAGGTCAGGAGTTCAAAACCAACCTGGCCAACATGGTGAAACCTCATCTCTACTAAAATTTGCTTGACTCAGTGAACTTACATTTTCTAAGTGACCAGTGCATGATGTTACAAAATCATGCATGGATAAAATGGATGCATTCAAAGTGCAAGATAAACCAACACATTTTAATTTGTTTTTTGAAACAGAGTCTTGCTCTGTTGCCCAGACTGGAGTGCAGTGGTATAATTACAGCTCACTGCAGCCTCGACCTTCTAGGCTCAAGTGATCCTCCCACTACAGCCTCCTTAGTAGCTGGGACCAGAGGCACACACCACCACACCTGGCTAGTTTTTGTGTTTTTAGAAGAGACAGGGGTTTTGCTATGTCTCAAACTCTTGAGCTTCAAATGGTCTACTCACCTCAGCCTCCCAAAGTATTGGGATTATAGGCATGAGCCACAGCACCTGGCCCAGATTTTAATTTTAATGAAAATTGCAATGAAAAGTTTATTGATGGAGAACGATCCAAGATGGCCGATCGCTAACATCCCGGGATTGCAGCTCTCAGGGAAGGCGAGGAGAACTAGAGGACGCCACACTTTCAGACAAATTCTGGTCGCTCACGGAGCAGAAGATCCCCCAGTGGAGGAAACACACGGGTGGCCAGCGCGACTCTCGTGGCCAGCGCAGCGGTTCCACGGGCACCTCGGCGCGGCAGCTCTCGGAGCAGAGTAAACAGGTTCGGAGGACCCACAAGGGCCCCCAGCACGACAACAGAGCCTGGCTCAGCGGCTGTGACGGCACCTCGGCGCAGCAGCACTCGGCGCAGAGTAAACGGGACTGGTTTCCCTTCTGACCGAGGTTTAGAGCCCCGGGAAGGCACAGTCGCCTACTACGGACACAAGAAGGAAGCCAGACAGGAGAATCCTGGGCAGAAAAGCACCATCAGTTTTAACGCTGCTGCTCTGGCCCTGGGAACTAACAACCTGGACGCCCACTCAAGAGACCTAATCTGAAAGTTGGTAAATTCAAAGACGGCAGGAGGATAAATTTACAATGACGGGAAGAAACCAGCGTAAAAAAGCTGAGAACACTCAAAATCAGAACGCCTCTCCCTCTAAAGATGATCACAGTTCCACATCAACAATGGAACAAGGCTTGATGGAGAACGAGCGCATCCTGATGACAGAATCACTCTTCAAGGAATGGATAATAACAAACTTCGGTGAGTTAAAAGAACATGTTGTAGCCCAACGTAAAGAAACTAGGAACTTTGAAAAAAGGTTTGATGAAATCCTATTGAGAATAGACAACTTAGAGAGGAGTATGAGTGAATTAATGGAACTGAAGAATACAATACAGGAACTCCGAGAAGTATGCACAGGTTTAAACACTCGAATTGTTCAAGCAGAAGAAAGGATATCAGAGGTCAAAGTCCAACTTAATGAAATAAAACGTGAAGAAAAGATTAGAGAAAAAAGGATAAAAAGGAATGAGCAAAGTCTCCAAGAAATGTGGGACTATGTGAAAAGACCAAATTTACGTTTGATAGGTGTACCTGAATGCGACGGAGAGAATGAATCCAAGCTGGAAAATATTCTTCAGGATATTATTCAGGAAAATTTTCCTAAACTAGCAAAGCAGGTCAACATTCAACCCCAGGTAATACAGAGAACACCACAAAGATATTCCTCAAGAAGAGCAACCCCAAGGCACATAATCGTTAGATTCACCAGGGTTGAAACGAAGGAGAAAATACTAAGGGCAGCCAGAGAGAAAGGTCATGTTACCCTCAAAGGCAAGCCTATCAGACTTACAGCAGATCTCTCAGCAGAAACTCTACAAGCAAGAAGAGAGTGGGGGCAAATATTCAACATCCTCAAAGAACAGAACCTTCAGCCCAGAATTTCATATCCAGCCGAACTAAGCTTCACAACTGAAGGAAAAATAAAATCTTTTATGAACAAGCAAGAACTCAGGCCTGCTTTACAAGAGCTTCTGAAAGAAGCATTACACACAGAAAGAAACAACCAGTATTAGCCTTTCTAAAAATATACCAAAAAGTAAAGAGCACCAACATAAAGAAGAATTTACACCAACGAATGGATAAAACAGCCAGTCAACATCAAATGGCAGTAACCCTAAATTTAAATTGACTAAATCCCCCAATCAAAAGACACAGCCAAAACCCAATGGCATGTAACATCCAGACCTGTTTCACATGCAAGGATACACAAAGACACAAAACAAAGGGATGGAGAAAGATTTACCAACCAAATGGAGAGCAAAAATAAATAATAAATAAATGAAAAGCAGGAGTTGCAATTCTCGTATCGGATAAAATAGATTTTAAAGCAACAAAGATATAGTGGTAAAAGGATCAAAGCAACAACAAGAGCTAACGATCCTAACACCCAGATACGAGACTTAGATTCAATGAGACAGAAAATTAATAAGGATATCAAGGACTCGAACTCAGATCCAGAACAAGTAAACTTAATAAATATTTATAGAGCTCTCCACTTCAAATACACAAAATATACATTCTTGTCAATACCACATCACACCTACCCATAAGTTTAAATGAAACATTGATTGGCCATTAATAATACCCAATTTTTTTCAAAATAAAGCAATATTTCCATTTACTCTCCCTCTTTCGCTTCCTCTTTCTTCCTCTCCTTTACTTATTTTTTTTTCTTTCCTTCTCAAAAAAAAAAAAGAAAAGTTTATTGATATGGTTTCAGATTTCACATTGAAAGTATGTGTTATGTTTACACTTTAGTGTAGCCTGTTAATTGTGCAATTACATTATATGTCTACAAAATCAATGTGCATGCCAGGCACGGCGGCTCACGCCTATAATCCCAGCACTTTGGGAGGCCAAGGTGGGTGGATCACGAGGTCAAGAGATTGAGACCATCCTGGTCAACATGGTGAAACCCCGTCTCTACTAAAAAAACAAAAACAAACAACAACAACAAAATGTATGTACCTTAATTTAAAAATACTTTATTGGGCCAGGCACAGTGGCTCATGCCTGTAATCCCAGCACTTTGGGAGGCCAAGGCAGATGGATCAGGAAGTCAGGAGATTGAGACCATCCTGGCTAGCATGGTGAAACCCTGTCTCTAAAAAAAAAACCAAAAACTGAAAACACCCCACTTTATTGCCAAAAAAACATGCTAACGTTCATCTGAGCCTTCAGTGAGTTGTAATCGTTTGGCTGGTGGAGAGTCTTCCCTTGATGTTGATGGCTGCTAACTAATCAGGGTGGTGGTTCCTGAAGATTGGGGTGGCTGTGGCAATTTCTTAAAATAAGACAATAATGACGCTTGCCTCATTGATTGCCTTTCCCTTCATGAAACGTTTCTCTGTAGCATGCAGTGCTGTTTGAGAGCATTTAACCCACAGTACTCCTTCAAAATTGGAATCCATTTTCTCAAACTCTGCTGCTGCTTTGTCGACTAAATTTATGTGATATTCTAAGTCCTTGGTTGTCATTTCAGCAATGTTCACAGCACCTTCACAGGAGTAGATTCCATCTCAAAAAACCGCTTTCTTTGCTCATCTGTAAGGACAAGCAGCTCCTCATCCATTCAAGTTTTAATCATGAGATTGAAGCAATTCAGTCACATCCCAGGCCCGAATTCTAGTTGTCTTGCTATGTCCACTCCATCTGCAGTGACTCCTTTCTCTGAAGTCTTGAACCCACAAAGTCATCCATGACAGTTGGCATCAACTTCTTCCAAACTCCTATTAGTATGGATTTTTTTTTTTTTTTTTTGAGACAGAGTTTCGCTCTTGTTGCCCAGTCTGGAGTGCAATGGTGCGATCTCGGCTCACCACAACCTCCACCTCCCGGGTTCAAGTGATTCTCTTCTGCCTCAGCCTCCTAAGTAGCTAGGATTATAGGCATGTGCCACCATGCCCTGCTAATTTTGTATTTTTAGTAGAGATGGGGTTTCTCCATGTTGATCAGGCTAGTCTTGAACTATCGATCTCAGGTGATCTGCCCTCCTCGGCCTCCCAATGTACTAGGATTACAGGCATGAGCCACCGTGCCCAGCCAATATGGATATTTTGACCTCCTCCCATGAATCATGAATGTTCTTAGTGGCATCTAGAATGGTGAATCCTTTCCAGAAGGTTTTCAATTTACTTTGTCTAGACCATCAGAAGAATCACTATCTATGGCAGCTATAGCCTTTTGAAATATATTTCTTTTTTTTGAGACAGAGTTTCGCTGTTGTTAGAGTGTTGTTAGCAGCTCTGGAGTTTCGCTGCACTCCAGACTGGAGTGCAATGGCACGATCTCGGCTCACCGCAACCTCTGCCTTCTGGGTTCAAGCAATTCTCCTGCCTCAGCCTCCCGAGTAGCTGGGACTACAGGTGCGCACTGGCCATGCCCAGCTAATTTTTGTATTTTTAGTAGAGATGGGGTTTCACCTTGTTGACCAAGATGGTCTTGATCTCTTGACCTCGTGATTCACCCGCCTCGGCCTCCCAAAGTGCTGGGATTATAGGCGTGAGCCGCCGTGCCCGGCCAAAATATATTTCTTAAATAATAAGACTTGAAAATTGAAATTACTCCTTGATCCATGGGCTGTAGAATGGATATTGTGTTAGTAGGCATGAAAACAACATTAATCTCCTTGCACCTTTCTATCAGAACT